GTCAAGGTTTACTTTTCATTGGGTGTTTATTTTGTTGTTCTTCGTGTGGATTTTTTGATGCATATCTTAATCTAGACTAATTCTTGTACTAGTATTCTGTCCGATCTTTGAGGAACTGAAGAGGTAGGTACCTCTGTGGTTAAGAGCACTGGCTGCTCTTCCAGAGAACTCAGCATCCATTTGGCAGCACACAACTGTCTGTAACTCCAGTTTCAGGGGACCAGATATCCTTTTCTGACCTCTATAGGTGTGAGGTATGCATGTGGTACATAGACATATATGCAAGCAAAACATGTTTATACATAAAATAAAAGTAAATCTTTAAAACAACAACAACGAAAAAGAAAGATCAAGCCAGGTAGTAATGGGGCACACCCTTAATCACAGCATTCAGGAGGCAGATCTTTGAGTTCAAGGCCAGTCTGGTCTACAGAGTGAGTTCCCGGACAGCCAGGACTATATAAAGAAACCCTGTCTCAGAGAGACAGAGAGAAGGAAGATCTTTGTGATAAATACTTGAGTTACAAAACACCTCAAAGAGAAGTTACCATGAAAGCCAAAATGATGAAGTTGTCCCAGAATCCCCCATAAACTAAACTTAAGGAAACACTTAAAACAGAATGTATTTATTCCTAAAACTAAAAGTCAGGTGATCTTTCCTTCTCAAATACCCATTTGCTAAGCGGTGGAGTATGTGTCAGTGCTAAGTCCTCTCCTAGCAAACCCAGGTTGGTTCTCCAGCACCATACACTGAAAGTATAGTTATCTCTTTCCAGGTGCTGTAGTAAGATACCCTGACAAAAGGCGCTTGGGAAGAAAAGATTTGTTATAGTTCACAGTTCCAGGTTACATCTGTTGTTGCAGGGAAGCCAGTGGCAGTAGCTCAAAACAGCTGGTTGTATTACATCCACAGTCAAGAAGCAGAGAGACATGAAAGCATGCTGCTGCTCAGCTCAACTGCTACAGGTCATCAGGCTTAGTGAGGAGTGCCTTTACCCACTAAACTATCTCCAGCTTTTTAAAAATAACCTCGGTAGATTGTTATACGAGTTTATGATTAAAAAAAAAGTAAGCAACATTTCAATAAAGATAAGAGCACATAGCCCATCGCCCCATAAACAAACTCTCTATACTTTTGAGACATGTCCATCTCAGGTATGGAAATGCGTAGGTAGCAGCATGGTGTAGTCTCACACACATGGGTGAGGATGTCTTTGAAAGATTGGTCCTTGGGGTCTATGTGGATGCTTGGTGTCTGGCTGTGAGAAGGAATTGCTGGCCTTAGGATGGTCAGGAAGATCTATTCCCATTACTTGTTTTTTGCTAATAGAATCCTAGTAAAGCATGGCAGTACTTTCTGATTTTTAGCATGATTGAAACAGTAGAGCCTAACAGACCAGCTACAATAGTTTTATGAAAATGGAAATAGTGGCAAGGCAGTTGATCTCTTTTGTAATTTTTTTTCATTTCTGTTGAATTTGTTAGGTGAAAAATGGTTGGTTTCTGATAACCACCTAAATATCACCAATGTAGCCTTTGATGACCGTGGGCTCTATACGTGTATCGTCACTTCTCCAACTCGTGCCTCCTACTCAGTCACCCTCCGAGTGATCTTCACCTCTGGAGACATGAGTGTCTACTATATGGTTGTCTGCCTGATCGCCTTCACAATCACACTCATCCTGAATGTCACTCGGCTATGCCTGATGAGCACCCATCTCCGAAAGACGGAGAAGGCCATCAATGAGTTCTTTAGGACTGAGGGGGCTGAAAAACTCCAGAAGGCCTTTGAGATAGCAAAGCGCATCCCCATCATCACCTCAGCCAAAACCCTGGAGCTTGCCAAGGTCACCCAGTTTAAGACTATGGAGTTCGCCCGCTACATTGAAGAACTGGCCAGAAGTATCCCTCTCCCACCCCTTATTCTGAACTGCCGGGCCTTTGTTGAGGAAATGTTTGAGGCTGTGCGAGTAGATGACCCTGATGACTTGGGAGAGAGAATTAAGGAGAGACCTGCCTTGGATGCTCAAGGTAGCATCTATGTGATTAACCCAGAGCTGGGCCGCAGTAACTCACCTGGTGGAGATTCGGATGATGGCTCTCTAAGTGAGCAAGGCCAGGAGATAGCAGTCCAGGTGTCCGTCCACCTTCAGTCAGAGACTAAAAGTATTGGGACAGATTCTCAAGACAGCAGTCACTTCAGCACATCTGATGACCCTGCGCCAGCTGAGGGCAGCACTCACCACAGAGACCGAGCCTGTGACAATTGACAGCCTGCCCAGTGCTCAGGAAAAGAGCCTGCTATGAGGACATAAGATTATTACAAGATGGCCAGGGTCTTCTGTTTAACCTTAAGCACATCAGGCCATGATTTGCCAAAGTCCTTGTGACAAGACAACATTTTTCTGATATTTGGTCATTTTCTTTAAGGTTGCTGGTGTGATGTGTGCTAAGATTGAAAAGCACCTAAGCTGTGAGACTTCTTTTCTGGTCACAGTTTTTTTCTTTGGCTCATGTGTGACACCTTGAAGCCCCGGTTTCCCCATCAGTGAAATGAGGGATTTGTTCTCAGTGAGTTGTATCTGGCCCAGCACTTCTTACCTGTCTCACCTCTAAGTCAGCCTTTCACTAGACCTTTGGTCCCTCTTTTGAGACTTTATTCTGCACTCTAGTTGTCTTCACCAGTGCCACACAGGGAGATGCTCTGCCCTGGAGAATGAACAGTGAACATGTGACTACAAGTGCTGTGGCAGGCAGATCTTTTCATTGAGGCACCACTGTGTTACACAGATCAAAAGAGTAAATTGCCATAAGAAAACCACTCTCACTGGGTGTGATAGCATGCGCCTTTAATCTCAGCACATGGGGAGACAGAAACGAGCAGATCCCTGAGTTCGAGAGCAGCCTGACCTATGGAACAAGTTCCAGTACAGCTAGGGCTACACAGAAAAACCCTGTCTTGAAAAACTCAAGGGAAAAAAAAAGAAGAAGAAAAGAAAAACCAGTCTCCGTGAGAAATGTGTCCTCCTTGGGAGTACATCCTGTCTTTTTAGCTTACCAAGACCTTTAGTCCAGCAAGGCTGGCCTTGACACCCCCAAAGAATGTTTTCTGTGTTTTGTGAGCAAGAATGATGTCAAGTCATCTCTTTCAAATCATCAGTTTTGATACTTTTTAATAATGTCTCAGGCTTCCTCTTCTTGAAAGTACTGAATTCCCAGGTAGGCTCTGTTTGGGTCCAGAACTGCAGAATCCACTTGAGAGCAAGCCCAGCAACATACTGCCCTCTGTGGTCCTTATTCTGGTGCTAAAGGTGATACACCTCTTCTTGTCTTGTTGAGACTCTTCATTGCTGGTAGTTTTGTTCTTCAGAGGCATCCTTTTGAGTGAGGGCTGCATTTGCAGCCTTTCTGAAGCACTTGCCTGAAATCAGATATGATCACTGTGTTCAGTGAGTTATTGTATTAAAACAGACAATCCAGATATAAGGAGGGAAATGGCAGGTAGTGCCAAGCCCCTGCCACTTCCCGCCTAGCCAAGAGTGACATGACAGATTATAAATAATCTTCACAGTCATCTCCTCAGCTGCAGGAAGCTCTTGTAGAATTTTAACATCATGGCCGTGGAGCTCAATTCGATGCTTCGCTTCATTTGGCTTCTGGTTGTGGAAGCATTTCTTGAACTAGAAGGTCCTGAGGGAACTGTGCAGAGGAGGTGTTCATTGGAATTTAATTTGAAGTATCAAACAAACAGAGGACAATGGGAAATTCATAGTGTAACCAGTGAACTCAGTGCCTGCCTTTGTCCAGGCTTATCAGATACGACGCCTCTGCTCTGGACAGCGTGAACGAATCGGTGTGCAGCTTTATCAGGTGGCATAAGGATAATATGGTAATGCTGCCTTTTCTCTCTCTCAGGCTGTTTCCATGGAAACCTCCAGAGCCAAACAAAAGCTACCAATCATTTAACCAAAAAGCCTGCCTTGGCTCAGATGTGTATTTCTTTAAGGAAAGCTGTTTTCATACATTTGGCTATAGAACAAGGGCTCTTGAACATATCCTAAATTATAGAACACGTTTTCCCCTCTTTATACTGTTCTCTGGACATATTAAAATTAAGAATTAAGAATCTCTTCTGTGGGGTCAGTCTCCTGATTGTCCCTCAGATCTGCAGTCCCTCACCTGATAAAGCAAGGTTGGGGTCACTTCTTACAATGAAGTTTGTTGCCTTAAATACTAGTTTTACACCACATGTTCCTAGAAGGGACATTAATGTCTTGAACTTTAAGGTAGACATATTTAATGACCAGAGCTTCAGAAAATAGTACTTTAAAAAATAGAAACTACCAGAACAGTTGGGCCACTCCAGTGTAGCCTGGGTCATTCAGCACAAAAACATAAGACAGGCACGGGGTGTGGTAGAACACACCTGTAATCCCAATTTAGATTGTAAATTCTAAACCAGCCTGATCTATCTAGCAAATCCCAGCCTCTGGGCATGTAGCTGGGGATGGGGTCAGTTTTCCTGCATGCACTAAGCCTGGATTTGAACCCTCCACCAGTGGTATCCTACCTGGAGGTCAAAGCAACCACCCTGCTTTGAGCCTTCGGAGTTCTATCACCAAGGGTAGGTCAAACTACCCTTGGTGGAGGAGGGGCAGGCTTGCAAAACTTGTTTTCAAGTGAAGAGCGCAGTTGTCAGTATGGTCTGTGTCTAATCAAACCAAATAGACTTCAGAGGCTCATCCATTTGTAAACCTTCACCTTAGTTGTTGTTACCACCTGGTGTCATTATCTTTCTGTCTTGCTGAATTTTATAGGTTAGTTTTTTTTTTTTTTAATACCTTTAAGCAACAAAATGTGTCTAAAATAGGTCTGTCGCCATATTGTAAATTTTGTATTGTCATTTAATGTACTTCAGTGTCCTTACAGAATTAAATAGTGGCTCATAAATCTACCAAAAGCTGCGATTTTAGCATCTTCATGCACTCCTTCCACACATGCACTTTTTGAGTTGATGCCCTGTTGTGTTTATAGCAGTTTGGTAACCCCAGTCCTCAAAGTCGTGTCTATTATGGTTTAAATATCTTTTTATAAAGCAGATCTTGCCATATTTTCCAGCCTGGCTTCAAATTTGTGATCCTCCAGTGTTAGCCTCCTGAATACTAGGATTACAGCATGACTGCCATGCTGGCCTTCATCTGCCTATATAGCTTAGGCTGGCCTTGAACTTGAAGCAATCTTCTTGCTTTTGCCTCTCAAACACTGGGGTTACAAGTATATGCCACTGTTCCTGACTTTTAGGCTTGATTCTTGAGTCAGGCCCAGTAAGCTTGTCTGTTTCCTGTCCACTACACATTGATAGAAACATTATCAGAACTGCTGACCCTGGGATAATTGTGAGAAAGCCCCTCCTGCTACTTTGCCTCCCTTCCACGAGCTTAAGGTCAAATCCCCACCCGAGTGCCACTTCCTCTTCACTCTCCGAAACTCAAGAGCCCTTGGGCCAATGCTTTCTATACCCTGTATGTGGTTTCACCCTACAGCAGACTAAGCTGGTCCCTGACCATCCCGGGAGGCTGCATGCTTGCTGTCTAGAGCCCAACTCAGCACAGCCCTGGCCTCATCCCCACACCAGGGATTGGAACTAATGCATCCTATTTCCAGAGCCACGGTCTTCTCACCTGGGCAGGATCGTTAACAACACTCAGCCTCATGAATACTTCTGGGTGCTTATGGATTTGTCTTGAAAAAGGAAATGAGTGTTGTTTGATAGTACTTGTGTCTCAACCATTATTTTTATAAAAACTTGAATTAAAAACTCAGAGCAGACTGTTGTACATCAAATAGAGTGTTTATTTGAGTCCACAGATTAGGTTTCTTATATGACCCAGTTTGATCTCTTTTCAAACATATTTTATGTGTAAGACTATTTGCTTGCATGTATGTCTGTACATCACTGGCATGCCTGGTGCCTGAGGAGGTCAGAAGAGAGTGTTAGATCCCCTGGAAACTGGAGCTGTGGACGGTTGGAAGCTACCATGTAGGAGGTTGGCAACTAAACCCAGGTCCCTATAAGAGCAGCAAGTGCCCTAACCTGCTTAGCCCTCTGTCCAGCCCCTGAAGTTTGATCTTGATGATTGCAAACAAGAGTGTATTTGAATGCAGTGTGATTGTTTCAATACAGCATTCTCCTAATCTGTGTGGTGCCATGAGCCACACTTTGGTGAGTACCCTTCCCACAGCAAGCCAGCAGATAACTGTCACTCTGGACCCAAACAACACAGCTTCCTACTTGGGAAGTGAAGTTCTCCATGACTAGGAAGCAGATCCAACCAAGGCCTGGGGGTCAGAGGACTGGTGTGTGTTCCTAGTGTGTCATGTTCATGAGCTTCAACAGCTGGAAGCGCTGGCTCTGGGAGAAGTGTGGTGTTAGCACTACTGACAGAACCCAGCAGGAAAGGAGAAAAGCAAGGGTGGGACATACAGTCATTACTCAGGTGCCACAGGCTCTGGGGAGTAAAGATCTAGCTGTGACTTTCAGTGGCAAAAGACATGATCCTGATGCCACCACTGGCTTTTGGAGTCCAAGGTGGATGTGTGGAATTTGATGTTAATTATTTCAAAGAGGAGTGAAAGGTTCAGGCATTATGCTGGCCTGCCCCTGTTACCTGGTGGAATCCACTCAGGCAATACCCTGGTCAGCCCAAGGTTCCATGGGAAAGAAGTCTGCACGCAGGTGCAGAGGACCCCTTTAAAAGATACCCCCCTTTCCCCTCTCTCTCTCTCTCTCTCTCTCTCTCTCTCCCTGTCTCTCTCTCTCTCTCTCTCTCTCTCTGCTCTCCCATCTCTGTTTCCCCTCTCTGTCTCTCTATGGCGACCGGCCATGGCGGTCAGCCATTTACCCCTGTTCCTCCTCTTAGTCTACCTATTCTGCCGAGCCTTATAATAAACTTATAGTCAATATGTCTGTCTCAGCAATTTCTCTTTTCTTCTTTTTAAACAAAACAATAACAAGGAGTACATTTAAATCCACCACACACTTCAGCATTTATTCACTGGGCTAGGTGATGAGTTGATGATGCCTAATGGTGGTAGAATCCACATGAGGATTCGCAGAAACAGCATAACAAAATGTGGTTTGCTTAGCATGGTGTATAGTGAAAAGGCTGCATCAGACTGTTAGCCATGTCCAAATGATACACAAGACAGCCACAAGTTCCTCACACCACTCAGAATTGCATCTAGCTGTGTGCTGAGGCAACCTGAGCATGGTGGCCTACCAAAAGCAGACAGTCCAAGGATGACACAAGGGCTCAGGCCTGCTGTTGAGGACTTGGCTCCTAGACATCTCTCCATTCATGTATGCGGATTTCATTCTTATGGTCACAAGATGTCATAGTTGAGTTCTAGAAGGAGCTCCTGAGACTTTTTTTTTTAAGCAATTTATTTTGGAGATGATTCTAGAAATGCAGGGAAGTTAAGACAGGAAGGAGAGGGAAGCCAATACAATAACATTCCGGAGTGGGTTACTGCTAAGGGCACCTGGTGTTCGGTCTTCTTGGGGACCACTCACATCTAGAGTTGTCTGACCCAAGGCCAGCAAGCTTGGATATTTGCTCACCAAATAATCTGTTATTAGTTACAAGCTGTTCCCAGGGGCTCTAGCATCCTTTAGCAGATGAGTGCTCTGGAAGACTCAAGTGTGGCAGTAGGAAGTCTGGTGATTGAAGGGATAGTGAGTGGCAGAGATTTATAGGCAGGGTATATATTTGCACCTGCTAATAGTGCAACCCTTCTGCTACCAGTGTGGCTTTGCACTCAGGGCAGAGAAAAGGGCAGACAGTCAAAGGGCAAAAGACAGCAACTGAGTCTGTTCTTTTTTATCAAGAAAGCAATAGCCTGTATCCATGTGCTACCCAGCAGCACCCAGAACTGGGTTAGGGTGTGTCACCTATCTTGTTGCTGTGACCAAATACCTGGCAAAAGCAACCTAAGGGAGGAAGGGTTGTTTGGGCTCTTGTGAAGGTAAAGTCCATGGTGGGAAGGCGTGGAGGCAGGAGCTTGCTCACCTGAGCAGATCATGGAAACAGAGATGGATGGTAGTTCCAAGCTAGCTTTCTCCATTTCCTTCTTTTATCCCATCCAAGCACCCAGCCTATGAGATGCTGCCACCCACATCAAGGGTGAGTCTAACTAAGAATCAGTTAATCCTCTCTGGAGACACCATTACAGAGGTCTGCTGCACCAATCTGAGTGATTCTAAATCCAGCTAAGCAGTCAAGGTAAACCACCACAAATGGTTACCACTGCATTTGTAAGTCAGAGATGAAGGCCAGCAGGATTGCTCAGTGGGTAAAACCTAGCATTTAAACAGGTGAGTGTGCTTGCTGCCAAGCAGAACCTGAGTTCAATCACTGGAACCCACATGGGAGGAGACAAAAGACTCCCACATGGTGCCCTTCAACCCACAGCTGCATGCGCACAAGTGCACATGTACACACACACACACACACACACACA